GACTCAGGCTGTAGAACGAGGACAGAGGCCACAATAGGCAGGACTCAGGCTATATCCACACGAAGACAAAACGCTTATAATTTCAGAAACTTTTTCTGTAAACACGGAGTTAGCTCAGTAAATGTGTGCGTCCATATGAATGTAGTCAATACGCCTGAAAACGCTGTGAAACTATGCCAGACCTGTTGGTGGCGCTGTGACGCAATGACGGGATCAAGCCCAAACTTCCGTGGGCATGCGCGGAATTTTGTAAACAGACAACATGGCGAGTGGGCGAGCTGGTACTACATTAGTATGGGCGGACGATGAGGTTGAACTGTTGCTTCGGGTCACACTGGATTACAAAACCAACAAGCTACATTGTTGTTGTCATTATTTTCTGAGTGCGGCGCATGCGTGCTTTAACAAGAGGCGGGGCGATGACACAAGCGTCTCAGATACATTGCGGAGAGGCAGTAACCACGGAGCGGCATATACGGAGTTTTGAAATCTTTCCACTCTGGGACCTAGTTTCAAAAATGTTCGTTTACACCCCCCCAAAACGCCGGCCTCGTATGGACGATACACTGGATTGATAAAGTATTTTTGCGTTTAGGCCTGAGCTTGACTTCGTGTGGACAGGGCCTCAGGCTGTAGAACGAGGACCGAGGCCACTCCATGCAGGACTCAGGCTGTAGAACGAGGACCAAGGCCACAATAGGCAGGACTCAGGCTGTAGAACGAGGACCGAGGCCACTCCATCCAGGACTCAGGCTGTAGAACGAGGACCGAGGCCACTCCATGCAGGACTCAGGCTGTAGAACGAGGACCGAGGCCACTCCATCCAGGACTCAGGCTGTAGAACGAGGACCGAGGCACTAATCTTGTATTTAAAACCAGTCCAGATCCTCCTTTCCTTTCTGTCCATTTCCTGAAACTTCTCGCCTCATAAACTTTGGTATTTGTCAGCGGCGCTTTGCAGACTGGGAAAGTTGCTCCTTAAAAGTTTAATTGTGTTTAAAATGGAATGCTTTGTGCTTGTGACCCGTTCCAAAGCAATAAGAGTGAGGGAGAGCTTTATTAAACCACAGCGCTGGTACATAAAGTGCACTCAGGCCCAAAATGTCCGCCCCTCTGAGACTGGAGACCGAGGCTAGAGCTCCAGCCAATCACGGAGCAGCGCCTGGTCCCCCCACAGACTCAGTGTGGATTATACCATCATGGAGCAACTGTTTTGGATCATTCTGTTCACTTTGGCCCTGAAACATGATCTTGAGATTAGTTTTTTCGGTGGTTGTTTTAGTTTTCTCAAGTAAAAAGAGTAATTGGAAAAATGGTTGAAGGCAAGTTTATTTGTATAGTACATTTCATACACAAAGCAAATGAAAGTGCTGAACAAAATAAGATAGCATTAAAATCATGAATAATCACATTACACAAATACTGATTTCACCTCCATCTCTCCCTCAGAACCAGAATTGTTTATCTATGACCACGCAAGAAGTTGGTGGAATTTGTTTCTGCTACACACACAAAAACAACAACAGGGACAGGTCAGATTAGGGATTGGTTCAGGGAGCGATCTACAAGGAAAGGCCCTGTAGCGCCTCCTGGAGGGCAGGAGTGGGAGAACAGATGATGAGCCGGATGTGTGTGGTATTCTGCTTTATCTGGAGATGAATTGCGGAGGTGTCAGTCTGAGCAGCAGAGGTGGGACCAAGTCATTGTTTTGCAAGTCGTAAGTTAGTCTCAAGTCTCGAGTCAAGTCCCAAGTCCTATCGTTTGAGTTTCGAGTCCTTTTGAGTCAGTGTTCAAAAACTAATTTGACTCAACCAGTCACCCCTTTATACAAAAAATATCCTCACACTCAAAATGAAATAAAAATAAATTCAAATAAATAATCTACGTGTAATACCCCAGTGGGGAACGGAGGCGTGTTGTTTCAATCCACGTCGGCTTTGAACCACAGGGAAAATAGGAACGGGTCTCAATAAAAGGGTCAAATCAAACTTCTGACTTTCACAATAAGCCTCATCGGTTTTGGTTAACCAATGTCGCTGGTACGTACAGTATGTGTCCGACCGAAATCTCAGTGGTGGGAACAAGAACAAAAGTAGACACACACAAACACCAGACTCATAATATTGATGATTGGCTCACAGCTTCTATCTAGTAAAAAGTAAAACCGATTATAACATAAAGCATTATCGGCATATGGAACTTTGCATGTAAAGAGTATTTCATATTCTGGTCTCACACTTTGAGTTGAATACAGGAATAAATTAACTTTAAAACAATCCATTCGTTCATCAATTTTCTTCCCCTTAATCCATTTCTGGGTCAGGGGGGTGGCAGTCAGAGCTGAACCCAATTCACATAGCAGTCCACAGGAGCCTTGATCTTTCAGCGGGGGGTTCAGGCAAAGTGGGGTCAAGTGTCTTGCCCAAGGACACAACAACAGCAGTCATCAGTGGGATCCAATATATGGCTCAACCAAATTTAGACTAATAGTTTTTCCAACCAATGTGTTTTTATATAGGGGCGACAGTAGCTCAGTTGGTAGAGCATTGGCCTTCAGGCCTGAAGGTCGTGGGTTCAATTCCCACCTCTACACCTTCTCCACCGACTCCCGCTGATGACTGCTGTCGTTGTGTCCTTGGGCAAGACACTTAACCCCACTTTGCCCAAAGCCCCCACTGAAAGATCAAGGCTATGCTCACACTCAGAGAGCAGCCGTCCTCCTGTGGACTCACCACCTGCAGAGGGTCAGTGAGGGGCTGGTGCTATGAGACTTGGGTGGCATCTCTGACTGCCACCCCCCTAACCCAGAAATGGATTAAAGGGTAGAAAATGGATGGATGGAATGGATGGATGGATGTGTTTTTATAGTGTAAATGTTGGTGTACCCAAGACCAGAGGGAATCACAGTATTGCACCCACGCGGAACATTATAAACACTTCACAACGAAGGAAAAGTCAGGGTGTAAATACTGACTGTGATTCAGGATTTTTGGCTGAAGGCAAAGACAGGTGCGGTGGAGGTTTTACTTAATAATAATCATAATCATAATAATCAGTTTTATACAACATTTACAGCATCACATGTCATTAATCATTCACTCCATATATGGTTGTGAAAACTACTACTGTAGCCACAGCTGCCCTGGGGCACACTGGCAGTAGCACAGCAACCAGTCTGTACCATCGGCCCTCCCACCTCCACCAACCATTCTCACACACACCAGACTCATTCTATGCAATGTGGGTGAAGTGTCTTGCCAAAGGACACAACCACAGTCTGGCACTTTACAGCCACAGCCGCCTCACTGTGGCACCTGGTTCTCCAAGAAGTCTCCCATTACATTACCAACCAGGCCCAGCCCTGCTTAGCTTCGGACGCCTAACAGGATCTGGCTTTCCCCCTGCAGCTACAGCTACTTATTCACAGCAATTGGATTCACACCCGCAACCCAAGAGCCTCTTTAAAGTGACTCGTGCTCCATTCTTTCCCTTCCTCCAGCGGCTGTCGGGTCCTTTGAGGATCCGCATGGAAACTATTCTCACACCAAACCCATCCATGTTTACTCAGAACCGTTGGGTTTGATAAAAACGTCTTGTGAAAGTGCATCTACACAGAGCGGAGCGCACGAGACAAAAAAGAGGCATCATAAAAATCATAAATATTCAAAGGCGCTCTCAGAGGCCTCTTCGCTCGTTCATAATTAGCCCTGATCCGGAGGCTTGCGCAACCCTTCGGACGGATTACGCTCTCTCCATAAAAACAACAGCCCGAACCATCATTCAAATGGACTTCAGTCGTGCACAAAGAAAAAAATCCTTAAAATGAAGCAATAGGAGAGAGATGGGGGGAGGCAGGCAGGGGGGAGTAAGTAAGTATGTAAGTAATGTTTATTTATATAGCGCATTTTACAGACCAAGGTCACCCAAAGCACTTTATAATGTTCAGAGTTCATATAGTTTTCATTCTCTCCACACACGGTGATGACGGAAGCGAGTCCCCGAACACACTGGTCCATCAAAGCCTCCGACCAAACACCATCCATTCACTCACTCACGACGTTCATACCTATTGTGCATGTTTTCAGTGGTAGGTAAAACCGGAGCACTCGGAGGAAACTTACGCAGACACGGGTAACAACATGCAAACTTCACTCAGAAAGGCTCCATTCCGACCAGAATTCGAACCAAAGACCTTCTCTTTTCCCCATCTTTTTATTGAAGTTAGACAATAATAGACACATAGAAAAATTACAAAATTACCCAAAAAAAGACCCTTTACTGTTAAACATTGAAACAAACATGGATTTTGTATATACTAATACAACCTAAATAATAAATAAATAAATCAAAATAATAAATAAATAAATCAAAAATAAGTAAAAAAAAAAAATTTAATAAAATAGATTAAAAAAATTTAAAAATGAAATGAAAATGAAAATATAAAAAAAAAATAAAAAAGAGAAGAGAGGGGGAGGGGGTTCAATCTACAGGCAATGTATGCAATGGTTTACAATATCTCTAAAAGGGACCCCATTTGTGTTTGAAATTTTCTTGGTATCCTTTTGTTGTGAGATAAATCTTCTGCAATGGAATGATAGAACATCACGAACCCAGGACCTTCTTGCTGGGAAGCGAGAGGGCTAACCACTCAGCCACCGTGCCGCCCTGGGGAGGAGGGGGGAGGGAGGCATGTGCTGGGTTCACATGTGTACAACTATGTATTTCAATCACACAGCTATGGTACACACGATGTCCACTGTATCGTTTCTGTTTGTGTCTGCGCAATCTGAAATAAATACAAGAAAATCCAAAAAAAACTGAGAGAGATTGGGTGGGGGGAGGCAGAGGGGAGGCAGGAGGGGAGGCATGTGCTGGAGACGGATTGGGTTTGGAGCACACGGGCCCTGGCGGCGCTGCTCTGGCTCAAGGCAAATGTACACAACGATAATCGCGTCTAAAAAGCTATTAAAGAAGAGTTTATTATTCAGCAGGAAGCACTAATGATGTCCACAGAGGAGCCAGGGCCGGCCGCCGAGGTGAGCGCAGACTGGAGAGATTACACCCAGCTAAAAGAGCCTTATGTAACGGCCAGATGGGCTTTAAAGGAGACGTGTGGACCGGGCTTTTTGGGGGGTTTTGACCGCGTTAGACACAAACCTGGCCATGATACTTTAAGACATTTAATTAGTTATTTAAATCCTGTTATAGTCAAGTATTTTATCTTGTTTGACTCCTGTTCTTTTTACCTGGTTTTATTTATCGACTTGTTTGGTGAGCTGTAGAGGCTTTTGCAAAGGTATTCCAATGGGGTTTTACTGCAAATGGAAAAAATCATGAATCTACTTTTGTATCTATTCATTAATGACAATACTAGTGATTAAAGTCCTGTCACAATAAAATTAAATCTCTGACTTTAGCAAAATAAAGATTCAGATTTAGATTCATTTATTCGACATTTGCAGTAAAACCACATTGGAATACATTAGCAAAAGTCCCCAGTGTGCGCAAGACAAGTACAGACATAAAACAACATTAAAAGTACAGAAATAAAACAAAAAGTAAACATTGTCACTGTGAAATCGACCGACTAAAGCAGTTTCTATACAAGTGCAAGATCATTAAAGTGCTCTGTTCAAACTGATGACAGCTTGCGGAAAAAAAACTATTAGCATAACGACATGTCCTGCATCTCAGAGAACGATATCTTCTGCCAGAGGGAAGAAGCTGGAACAAGGCTTTCCCAGGGTGGCCAGAAGAGTCGTTGATAATTCTAAGAGCTGTGTTTAAAAGTCTGGATTTATAAAGAACCTCCAGAACAGGAAGCTCACAGCCCTCTCTCTGGTCTCTCTCTGGTCTCTCTGGTCTCTCTCTAGTCTCTCTCTAGTCTCTCTCTGGTCTCTCTCTGGTCTCTCTCTGGTCTCTCTCTGGTCTCTCTCTGGTCTCTCTCTGGTCTCTCTCTGGTCTCTCTCTAGTCTCTCTCTGGTCTCTCTCTGGTCTCTCTCTGGTCTCTCTCTGGTCTCTCTCTGGTCTCTCTCTGGTCTCTCTCTGGTCTCTCTCTGGTCTCTCTCTGGTCTCTCTCTGGTCTCTCTCTAGTCTCTCTCTGGTCTCTCTCTGGTCTCTCTCTGGTCTCTCTCTGGTCTCACGGTCCTCTTTGCAGAGCGGAGCACCTTGTTTAACGCTCTCTTTTCTTTATCTGTGATGTTTCCAAACCACACAGACACAGAACCAACAAGTAAACTCTCAATGATGCAGCCATAAAAGTTAAGAAGAATCTTAGAGTTAGTGGTAAATTCTCTAAGTTTACGCAAAAAGTAGAGACGCTGACGAGCTTTTTTAACGACCCGGTCAGTGTTTTGACCCATTTCAGGTTAGACAGAGTTAAACCCAGAAACGTGCACTACAATCTGCACCTGGGAGAAGAAGCAAGTATAAAATCTCTAGCTTTGGTATAATATTACTACTTTTAAAAAAATATATTTTATTAGTAATAATCATGAATGAGAACAGAATGAATGTTTTGAGTTGCCATGGTAGCATATAATAAGTTACATTCATTGATTTATATTCATTAATTCAAATTAGTCACAGACAGGTTTGAGGTTAACAGGTGGAAAGGGTCCAGGGGCCGCACCAGATCTGTTCTGATCTGTGAAGCCTCAGACAACGTGGTCTTGGTCAGAGCTGTTAATTCTTCTTCCAGATAAATGCGTTTAAGCAAATGTAGGTTTCTTAAAGTTTATTTCATAACCAAACGTTTACTCAGTGTGAAAAGACTCTCACCGTCTGAACTTTAAACTTTTGACTTTGTGGAAAGATTTCAAATAATTCACCCAAAATAACTTTTCTTAGTGAAGGTGAACAGTTTTAATGTGAGGACTGAGATGTGAACCGTTCTGTTTGAAGGAAGCTGTGGCTGTGAAACAATTGGCTTTATTTAGATTAATCCTAGATTTGTATGTGCAATCTGCATCTTACATTCCTAACATGTATTATCCAATGACATTGTTATTTAAGCATGTATTTTGGATGTGAATGGATTTGAATGTATTGCACTAAAACTGTCATGGTGTGGATTTTATTTTGTATTTTGATTTTATTTTGAGATCTGTTCTCTGTGGTTTGGTTTTAGTTTGACTGTGACGTTCTGTGTTGATTGTCCGCCCCGCCCTGATGTGTTTCACCTGTGTCTCTGTCTATATGTACCTTGTGCTCCTCTCCTCTTGTTGCTGCTCCATTGTATTGTCTACATCTGTTCTGTTCTGTTACTGTTTTTGTGTTCCTGGTTCTGAATTTTGGATTTTGAGTTTAGTTTTCACCTGATCTTTTACTAAATTAAATCTATTTTTTCTTTGCATTCCTGCGTTTGGGTCCTCCATTCATGTCACCCCACCTCGTGACAAAACATTGATAATTGTGCTGAAAAACCACTCTGGCATTTTGGTCTCATTGCATTTGAAATTTGACAATCTCTTTTGTATTTTGTGTTAAGCATTTCACAAAGCAATTCTGTAATTTAGTATCAGAATCAAATCAAAATCTGCAATTGGCAAAACACAATGTCTGCTTTATCAGAAACACCTCTATCATTTGACTGAAGGATTTTCCAAAAAGCATTTATTTTATCCATCATCAGTATGACATCCCCTCGGACTCATGGGCTGCACCGCCTCCTGTCTGGGAGCTGCCTGAGTCCTGCATTGTTTGGCTTCCGTCCTCGTTCTACAGTCTGAGTCCTGGAATTACAGCCCGCCCGACCGTAGAAGCAGATCTCCCAGAGGTTTCTCATTTTTTTCCAACTGGGTTTTTAGAGTTGTTCTCCCGATGCAGGAGAGTCTAAGGACAGTGATGATCCAGGACATTCCACATACATTTATCCACATTTACGGACATTGGTCTCTGCCCCTTATGGACGAATGGCTTCTTTTTGATTCTCTGATCTGTGTTTGCAAATTTGACGTTTTGTACAATACAATACAATTTATTCTTGTATAGCCCTAAATCCCAACAGCATCATCTCAGAGACTTAACAAAACCATTGAAATCACCAACACAGATCAAAGAATCAACAGTTAAAACACAAAAAGAATATCAAACTCATATTTTCAAAGGTTTTGTGAAGTCCTCCGAGATCACTACTGTTGTGATTTAGAATTGAATGAATTTTAGACAATAAGTGGATGGAGTGAAAGGGGTGTTTCAAAGCTCCAAGATGACTGGTGTTCACTAAGTAGACAATAAACGGAAAACCCCTTGTCTTTTTCGTAGAACATGTGTCTAATTGGCCCGACGCCCTATCGATCCTCTCTCACTGAACACATCCCACTCCATCCTCCACTTTTCCCTCTTGGATTACAACCACTTCAATTTTATCCTCGAGATTTTTTATTTTTTTTTCAAGAATTTCCCAAAAAACACATGTGGGACTTCAACCCGTGGTGCGGATTTTGTCTCAGTCAATGAAGATGGGCGTCTAGCTTCTGCTTATACCTCTCTCTCTCTCTCTCTCTCTCTCTCTTGCTCTCTTGTTCATCAGTAGAGCTCGCAGACACGTCGCCATGGAAACTGTGTCCGAACCCCAAGTCGCGAGGGAAAACATGGAGCGAACGGGGAGAGAGAGAGCCAGAAGCGGAGACGCCGACGGAAAGTTGGCTTCTGCAACGCCACGGCCGGTGTTGCACTGGGAGAGAAATCCAATGTTGCAACTGGACTCTGTAAAGAAAAATGACCCAGAGCAGCTTTGGTTTGAGGTTGTTAAAAAGTAGTGTTTTTGAGCTCCTCCCGGTCTCACAACTAAGGCTGGATTCCTGCTTTGACGGCTTGTGTTTGGTGGATCAGAAGGCAGTCCATGTCATTGGGCTGGAAGAAGATATGAGTCTTGTAGATGGAACCGTATGGAATATGTACGTCAAGGGTCTCCAACCTATAGTTCGGGAGCTAGCAGTAGTCTTCACCCCTTCCCATTAGCTCCCAAAAGAATTCATGAATGCCATAAATAAGTTAAATATTCCAAAATGTATGATTCAAAGCCCCGAATGTAAATGCAAGCCTAACACGTATGATAAATATTGATTCTTGTTAACAGTATCCCATCTAAGGCTATTTCACACGATTACATAAGACATATTATTTTCCCCAGATGCTTAAAGGAGAAGTTCTCTGAGATGAAGATTCTTTTTTTTGTCCCACAGTGAGGAAATTCCAGTGTTGCATCACCAGTTATAGAACATTAGGAATGAGGAGCATTAAGGAACTCTATACAAACTAAAATAAAATCCTGCAACTTTAGCATAGAAATAAGAAAGTATAAAATCTCTAGCTTTAGCAAAATTGAAGAAGGAAGAATTAAGTAAAAATCTCTGACTTTTGCACAGGGAGAAGTCAGAATAAAGTCTACATTTTTAGCATATTAAAGAAGTATAAAAGCAATGTAAATGCACTAGAATACACAATACTTTATACATGCTTCTAATTATACAGTACTAAACATTTTTGTTTCTTCTTCATGCTCGAGTTAGAGATTTTTATTTTTATTTTATTTTTGTCTAGAGCTGTTGTTCCTTATGTTTGTGCTGTGTGCTCCTCATTCCTACTGTTCGGTAACTGATGATGCAACACTGAAATTTCCCGTCTTTGGAATCTCTTAAATACTGTTTATTCTAGTGCAAGAAATATAAAGTTGTACGTTTACATCTGTACACGTTAAAAGCACTATGCACTAAAGGGTATGGAACAAATGGACTCAGTAAAGTGACGGTGGACACATGTGGTTCCATATTGCACATTCTGACATTTTAGTCCAGAAAAAGTAGCTCTCAGAGGGAACAAAGTTGGAGACCCCTGATCTATGTCGTCTATTCAACAGATAATTGGAGAAAATGGATCAATTCAGGGCAAGAAAAAGTCAGCAACAATTACTGCAGACGTCCACAAACTCGAATGTATGGACTGTTATTAACATTTTGTGACATTGGTCTCTGCCCTGTTTGATTCTCTACGAAGCTGTCGATTGGCCAGCACAAAGTCCCCGAGATAACTACTGTTGAGATTTAGGGACTATTGTATCAAGATCTAATATAGTTTTGGCGTGAGAAATATCCTATGGGGGCTGTTTGATTTATGCTTGATTTTGAAAACAAGTAACACC